TTAGTTTAAGTAAAACAAATATATATATTAATATATAAAATATTGTGGTGCTGTTGAAATGTTCTGTACAAATTGTATACTACAGACTACAGAAAGATATTTCTTAAGTACATACTGTCCCAAGAAATCATATCATAATCATTGCAAAATAATCTTCTAATAAAATGAGGAAAGTTAGGAAAATATTTTCATTCCCACCAATTGCAATTGTAATATCAGCCAAAATAATCGCAATAGGATATATTTTTAATCAATAATTAATTCACAAATGAACAGTTTACTACATCTGCTGTGCCATTTCTGTTTACCATGTGCTCACACCACTTCTTTAATGCTCCAGGTCAGTACAGGGTGGTGAAAGGCATCATCTCTCCGGTGGGTGATGCCTATAAGAAGAAGGGTTTGATTGAGTCCCGTCACCGCCTGGAGATGGCCAGATTGTCAACAGACAGCTCGGACTGGATCACAGTTGATCCCTGGGAGAGCGTGCAGCCAGAGTGGGTGGAGACAGCCAAAGTTGTTAGGTAGGTTGACAATTCTCATGTCTTGTTATTGTAAGTGCCTATGCCTGCTACGTGTGCAGAAATCAGCAAAAAAGACACATTTTTGATGTCCTCAACCAGAGTTTCCTTGCTTGCAGTTTTCTGTTTTCCTCTAATTCTTCTTTGTCAGTCACCTCAAGCCACCCCAAGCCACCCATTCATCAAACCAGTAATGACTAATGATGTACAAGCAGTTCCTGTAGCAGTTTAGGATTTGATGTGATCGTTACTCTTGTTTTGAGTCATCCCTGCTGTTCATCGTTCAACCCTCGCAACTGTATTCAGATCACAAAGTTGTTCATGTTCAGTGTCACACAGGGTTTCCTTTCACTTCATGAATGCATCATGCTTGAAGCTTATTGTTACTCTTGGGTTGAAAATTACATCTTTAAATGTGCATTTATAAGTATTTAAATCAAACTTCAGACCTGTTATGTGACATTATTGCTTATTATGGCCCAATAAATGACATGTGTACATAAGCAGGAGTAGTGATTCTCACCAACTTCCAGGGTGCATGCATGAAGAAGGGAAAAAGTCTCAAGAGGGACACTTTTAGTATGCAGAACTGGCTGGATACTAACTGTAAAAATGACTCATACGTCCTGTATTTGAAACTGTTTGCAATGCGGTTAGCTCCCAAACATCTTTTGATGCTATATTATTTTGTCTGGACCCACTTAGGCATTACTATAAGGAAATGCTTGAGGCAGAGCAGAATACCGATGATGTGGACACGGTCAAGTACGCCAAAAAGAGACGTATAGAGGAGAATCATTTTGGAGTTTCGTCTCATCAAAAAAAAGGTAGGACAATTACGATTGTATAACTTAAATGTTGCTCTTTTCAACCCATGCCTTTTCCAATTCCTTATTCCAGACAAGTCTGATCCTGCCTCCCCTTTATTCATCCTTTATCCAGTATAACTCATGGGAACAGGGAACAATGGGGTCGGGGTGTGTGATGGGAGACACCTGATCACACCCACTACAGTTAAGACAGGCAAGACAGCCTCAGTGAATCACAGACACACAAACGGTGTGGTTATCCATTTATTCTTCACACTTGTGACAATTCTCAGGTTAAGTTATATAAACATTGCTTCCTGCCTTCTGGTGACTTTTAAAGATTGAATATATAACATTTATACTGCACTATATAATATGTAAGAATAGATTCATTAAAATCCCTTTGAATATTTCCAGAAGAAGCAGGAAATCTTCTTTCCAGGAAGTCTAGACTTTGCTTGTGGGTTTTTCCCTCGACATTCTGTAACAGTAACCTTTTTCAGTTGAAACAACGCTGTACAGTGAAAATAAAAAAATATATGAATATATATGATTAATCTGGAAGAGAGGTCATTGAAAACGGGCAACTGTGCCAATGACCTCCATCATAACTAAACAAAAATATGATATAAGGCTGACAACATCAGAAATATCGCTTGTTAAATCTTCTTTAGGTAAAGCTGCCTTTATAAACACATGTTTTCCAAGCTTCAATTCCATTTTAATATGCTGTTGTGTTGGATTATACAATTCTTAATTTTATGGTCTCTTTTAATTTGTTTTTTGTCAATGTAATCTTCCAATCCCTAAGAATCTTTGTACAACCAACAAGTAAGTAATTAATATAAATGTTTTTTTCTCTGTTCATGCACAGACGGCCTTCAGCTGATGTTTCTGTGTGGGGCCGATATCCTGGAGTCCTTCGGAGTCCCCAACCTGTGGAAGCAGGAGGATATCGATGAAATTGTCGGCCGCTACGGTATGGTTTGCATCACCCGCAGCGGCAGTGACCCCCACAAGTTCATCCACCAGTCAGACAAGCTGTGGCAGTATCGCCAGAACATCCATGTGGTCCGCGAGTGGGTGACCAATGAGATCTCAGCCACTCAGGTGCGGCGGTCGCTGCGTCGAGGTCGGAGCGTCAGGTACCTGCTGCCTGACGGCGTGGTTCACTACATACAAGAACATGCGCTGTACAGCGCTGAGAGCGAGCAGATAAATGCAGGTGTAGTACTGGCACCTATTCAGAAGAACACAGAAGTCTCCTAAAGCTGAGGACGTTTACTGCGGCAAAACACAGAGAAGATAGCTCTCTACACCAAGTGCTGTATGTTTACTGTGAATCAAAATTAGATAAGCAATACAGGCAATTTTGTTTAACTTCCAACAGTGCCTACTACACAGAACAGTACTTTTTACTATTAGGCGTTTTGTTTTTATAAGTGTGCATAGACAGAACAGGGTGAAGTAACTGAAGTAAATTACTCACAAACAGAATAACTGAACAGTTGGCTGGGAGGTCATCTAAATGTCAATGCTGTTGTTGAAAATAGAACCAGTTCGTGGTTATTGAATTAGGGATTCACCATTTTGTGTGAAGTAGTCAGCATACAGTGAATCACAGACACACAAACTGTGTTGTTATCCATTTATTCTTCACACTTGTGACAATTCTCAGGTTAAGTTATATAAACATTGCTTCCTGCCTTCTGGTGACTTTTAAAATAGAATATATAACATTTATACTGCACTATATAATATGTAAGAATAGATTAATTAAAATCACTTTGAATATTTCCAGAAGAAGCAGGAAATCTTCTTTCCAGGAAGTCTAGACTTTGCTTGTGGGTTTTTCCCTCGACATTCTGTGTAGCTGTATTCTTGTCAGGGTAGGAACAGTAACCTTTTTCAGTTGAAACAACGCTGTACAGTGAAAAAAAAGAATATATATGATTAATCTGGAAGAGAGGTCATTGAAAACGGGCAACTGTGCCAATGACCTCCAACAGTATTATGAAGTATGATTAAGAACAAGTTCATTTTAAAAGTTGAACTTGCTTTATCTCAATGCTTCAGTATACTCTCTGAACCTGTCACATGTTTTGTACCTAGAGCAGGATTTGGTTTATTCACTCCTTCATGCTTTAAACATGTTTATTTTTCAGTGCTCCCAGTTTGAAAGTAAATGTGTGATTTGTATTGACTTGAAATGAAATAAACAACTTTCGGTTTTCAGACTTGGAGGCTATTTGTTACCATCAGGAATCACAATGCTATTGTCACACAGATAGACATCTAACTTCCTCATGTAAGGAAGTGCAAAAACAACACCTTCTTTGTTTGATTAAAATCATGTGTGTCAGCGGGGGTTAACTTATCTTTCAGGTAATCATCAATTGATAGAAGATAATAGCTGAAATAACAAATGTGGCCAGTTAAAACTCATTGCTTTCCTTAGTATTGCAGTTGTTTCCCTCTTATTATTCGATCAATGGTATTAGATTGCATAAAAACTGAATACAGTACAAATGTGAAGTACATTACAAGGTCACGTTTTTTTTTACATATTAAACAACTCATGTCTGCTTCAGTTGCCTATGACAGAATGTATGCACAAGTAGAGTAATGTGTGGGAAAAAACCTTGACAAAGTTTATCTGCATCACATCAGAGCGACGGATTGCTGCTTAGTTGAAATCACGAGGAAGAAGAACTAGCTTAATGTTTGGACAAGTTCCATGTGGTTTATTCCCTTTCCCACTAAAGGTGCGGCGAATCGTTTCACAACCACAGCATAATTATGATTGTTATTGTTACTATATTATCATTTCCCCATTGCATACATAGGTGTGCCATCCTAGCAAAGGTCATCGTCGTAAAAAAACTGCAGGTGCACAAATGCAATATATGACTCGTCTTACGCACTTATTGCTAACCTCAACAAAAAGTGTACAAATTTGCATTTAAAATTTAAAAAACAAATATTTAGTATTTTAATATTGGGCTTACCTATATCCGTAGGATTGATTTTGTGTTCTATTTTTATGGATAACATTTTTACCCAAAAAAAGTGATTTGTTAAAGGACACAAAAATACCACACATGAAGGATCATAAATAATATAACTTTCTTAGAAATATTTAAGCAATCTTGAAGATTTTCATTGAAATAAAGGTCTGTTAAGGCACTATCTATCTCCAAAGGAGGAAACACAATGTTGATTGAGCCTATAGCCCACTGATCAAAGTATCGCAATATTTCAACATTTGCAGTATTGTACCTAGTTGTCTGTTGGGACATCCCCAGAAAAATTCAAATTTTCTCCATTGTTGACACACAACAAATATTGACAATATGTGCATAATTCAAACAATTGAAGCTTATATATCAAAAACAAGATTCTCCCGAAACAATGATATTGCTTTGACTGAAATAAATAGTCTAAATCAATCAGAGCAGGAATCTTAAGCAATAAAGGTCAATATATTTGTTCTTGTGTTTGTTTGCATCTGTGTGAAATGAATCTGTGACACTTGACACAAATAACGAAAGGTTTGTTATTCAGTGATCTTTGTGGTGGGACCAGTCTGACATGTTGTCACTGATGAGAGCACCTCCCTCAGCCTCAAACCGTGGACAGCGAATAGAATGAAGGCACACCTACCTTAAAACCTCCAGGTTTCTCACCAAACAGCATGTTCTCAGTCTCTCTTCAGGACTCTTCATCAGCTCAGCAGATTGAAGATCACATTTAACTTGCACGCACAGGTCTCAGGAGGGAAAGAAAGTCATCAAAATGCCAGCCAGCCTCTGTGATACATGGGACATCATGAGCAATGTCAACTTGGAGGGCTACATGACTGCACTGGGTAAGTCCTTTGGGAGTGATTTAATCCAACAATGTTCTCAGATATGAAATATTTGTTAAATTGATGCAAATTGATATGCTAATCTGGTTAAATGTTTCTTAATCCAAAAAGAAAGCATTATACAAAGGCGGATTCCTTCTTTTTAATGTGCTTTCGTTTTGTGTTTTCTGCCTGTAATGTTTTTTTGTTTATCCTGCTGCTGCCTATCTTGACCAGGTTTCTCTTGAAAAAAGAGTCATTAGAATTAAAATTGCACTCTTCTGGTTAAGTAATTGTTAAATAAATAAATGTAAACGCTAAATAGGGCACAAAGGGAAATACTTTGCCGCATTAAGCAGTGTAAATCTTTACACAACAGCGAAATGTATGATATGCATGAGACCTTCTGAGGGTAATAGTGTGTGAGATTTTATCTTCTTAGATTTTTTTCTCTGTTTACTTTACTCAACACTTCCTCTACCCTTCCAGGTATCAGCCCTTGCTTACGAAAGATTGCTCTGACGGTGAAGGTGAAGAAGGTGATCGAGCAGCAAGAGGATCAGTACACCATCAAAACTACCAGCAAGGTCAAAAACTACACCATCGCCTTCAGAGTGGGTCAGGAGTTTGAGGAGTTCACCAAGGGATTGGACAACAGACGTGTCAAGGTGAAGATAAATGGCTGATGATTTGTTTGTTCAAAGTGAAATCATTATTTTTGCAAGAGAGAGAGAGAGAGGTATGACACGCAAACAAAGGGCCTAAGGCAGGAGCATGGTAAATGGTGGTTATATGGCATGCACTGTAACCACTTGGCTCAGAACATTTTGTATGGGCTGCTAAACCTGTTCCTTGTTGTGATTTAAACTCTCTTTTTCTTTTCCATCTGTGCAGTCACTGGTGACATGGGAGGGGAATAAACTGGTGTGTGAACAGATTGGAGAGAAGAAGAACCGGGGTTGGGCTCACTGGATTGAAGAGGACAAGCTACATCTGGTAAGAAGAGTGCACGTAGTCACAAGAGGCATTCACGTTGTATTTTCATCACAAGTCAAGTTTCAGAATTTGGGCAAGAATTTAAAACCTTGATTGTTTTTAAGTTTATATTTCTGTTAAGGAAATGAAATGTAAATGATCACACATTAAATAAAACAATTATTGAGTTACATTTTGGACATGAAACTTCAGAAAAGGTTTAATTCAATGAAGTGTCTTCATGTTAGTATTCAACTATGGAACTTTAATGGTGATATTTATTAGTTAGGTTTTGAAGCCTATTCATCCATAGTGTGTTCCCTTAACATCATATTAAATGTATATTTCTGTGACCCTCAGGAGCTGTACTGTGAAGGAGAAGTCTGCAAGCAAATTTTTAAGAAGAATGCGAACGAGTGAAGAGGAATGAAAGTTGTTTTTCTGGAGAATTTACTGTGATGAGAAGTGTGTTAGATACACAACTCTAATACCACACTTACGACAGTGGTCTTTTTTCGGAAATGTAACTTCAAAGCTCAGTTCTGGTGATAATGTCTTTCCTGTCAGGGTATTGATTTACACCACTAGATGGCATCAGTGCATTTTTTGTCAGACACCAATGTCCAAACTGGTCTGTCGGTAAATGGTGCTCGGCCTAATGAAGTCAAGAGAAATGACTGTGCATCATGCCTGATTTTGTCTCCTTTAAGCTACCTTAGAGACTCAATGCAGGCTATGTGCGGTGCAAACTTGTTGTTTCCTTCAAATCTTTATTGTCTAATTGGACACATTTGGCTTGTGCTGGCCATATTACATTTGGTTGAGCTAATTCTAAAAATCAAAATCCTTCTCTCTTGTAGATACATTTATTCCCAATGTACAACTTAAGTGAGGTGTAGGATATTTGGAATACAGTTTTGTATAATTTTGTATAATTTTGTATAATAAAGTGGGTTTTTGAAATCTGAAGTGGCATATTTTCTTATTCAAAATTGTTTTAGTCATCCTATCCTTGAAAAAAAAAAAAAACCTATCTTCCTGATTGTATAAACCTTTTCTCTCACTTATAGATATGGCCTGTTTCAATATTGATTTTATAGAACGTGATGCATTACTGTAGATTAAGCTACCCAACTGTAGGCCGGGTAAATGAGTTCAATTTAGCGTATAACAGCATTAGAATGCAACACACACAGAAGTAACATTAAAATTGATACATCATAAAAACACTAACAGTTAACATATTACTGCAGAATACGTTTTTTTCACGTTGGATAATTTAAATAAATGTTGATGATAACACTCACTTTTAATTAAGGTTTTGAGTGCAGGAAAATTACTAATCAGTTATTCTCACAGGGTGGTATTTGTAGTTTTATGTCCAATGACTGTTGCTAGCCTGCCATCTGTAGCCTACCAATTGGTGCCTTAACTGGTAGGCTACTAGCCTCCTAACACCAGTAAAGGGTCGTGTAAAACCTCTTTGTAGTGACCTTGTTATGCCCCATTCATGCACACTGATTTTAACAAATATAGACAGGATGTGCTGTTTATTTTTAAAACGAAATACAAGTATGGATCTGATTTGCATAGATCAGCTATCTGACAGTAAATTCCATGTAAATCACGATAATATTCACATATATAACAGGTAAAATAACATTTATCTGTGCGACACAGAAGCCTTACACCTCCCCCAGTAGTCTCTGGGTCACGTGACATTTGTGTAGAACCAAAATGGCTGCAGCTGTATTTTGACGTATAATAGCTAGCTTCTTTTCTTTTTGTTTCATTCTTGGTAGAAAACTAGCAAACGACAGACTTTTTGGAGGAACTGTATATTGCCACCCTCCGTATACTGGTGTCATAGTTTATATCTTGAAGACAATCAAGACTGACACTTATTTGTTGAACTAGTTGGACTATGCATATTCAGTTCTAATACAGGCTAGCTAGCTGGCTCTGGCTGGCACACATCAAAGCAGTTGTAAGTGTAAAAGCTAGCTAACCTAGCTGCGATGGAGGAGTTGAGCGCAGATGAGGTAAGGCGAAAATGGGGATGAAACGCTTAAATTGTGTTGCTAGAATAAATGTGAATTATTTAGCTTACTTTCAAATGAAATGAAAATCCTTTCTTTTATGTGGGCCTCATATGTTCTGCCACTAGCGGACTTGCTACTTGAGCTAGCTCAGAGGCTAGCATAGTCTAACGTTAAACTGAAGAAATGTATCCGCGACAAAATCACACATTTAACCCTTATTCAAATCAAGCATGCAAATGTGCGTGGTACCCAACGTGACCTAAAGGATGGTTATTCAGGAAAGCCGGTAAAATAACAAAATGAACTAACTAAATTCGTTTAGTTTGCATGTGTATGTCACCGTTGTCAGTAACGTTAATTTAATTTAGCCGGAGAAAATGCTAACTAGCCAATGCTAAAAAGGCTGTGTACAAACTGCTCCATGGATTACATTGCTTAACTTGATAACTAATACACGTACATTGAATTATTTTCACTTTGCAGGTTTTTACTTCATGATATAGATTGACAGTCAATGTTACATTTTGTATTCTGAGTTGATTTGGCATATTTTCCTGCCGTAAGCTAGTTGACAGTTGCTAACGTTGTTTTGCTAACAGCCAAAAAATTAGCCTGCGAGACGACTCAGCATAAAAAAACACACCGGGCCACCATTGTGCAATCAACTGTTGGCCGGCTGAGAGTAGTGTTGCCATTGAGCTGTTACCTGAAACCTCACACAACATCGTATAAACTGTTAGTTCTTTGTCACATTGTGCCCGTATTTAGCCAACGTTACTCGATCAACTTGCAATACAGCGTGCTGTTGATTTACTAGAGTAATGGTCTTGTGCCCTGGTGCTCGATTTTTACTCGCATCTAATTTTGTTTACAGTGTAGGTTACACTGTATTTATGTATGTTTTTATTCGTTAAGGCTTGTGTTTTAAATGTGTGTCTTTTGTCGGGTGCTAATGACCTAATATGGGTAATAGGCGTAAAATAATCGCCTTAGATTATTTTATTTTATCCATACTTATTGTGCCAATTATTTAGAAAAAAAATATATAGCTAATAATTGTATGGTTAATATAGCTCTAACGGTCATTTGATATTATGAAGTGCTGTATAGTAGGCATACAGTACATATGTTAATTTGCTGGTCTATTTATTCAAGATTCGCAGAAGGAGACTGGCACGACTGGCAGGTGGACAGACGTCACAGCCCAGCACCCCTCTCAGCACACCCCTGACATCCCCACAGAGAGAGACCCCCCCTGGACCCCTCCCTGGACCCTCAGGTGTTGCCCCCCAGCCACCAGCTGCCTCTCAATCATTGGGGCTCAATGTCCACAGTTGTACACCGGCCACATCCCCTATGGGCACCTCTGGTAAGATTTAAATAAGATCTATAGGTTTTGAGATGCATGAGTTAGTTTCTCAAAATGACTGTTTTTAATTCTGGTGAATTAGGATGTTGACAACCACAGGTACAGATCCACTCAGCTTTCTCTTATCAGCATAGGGTTATTGTTTTAAGCCTGTTTTGTGATTATAAGTCTAACTCTGTCATCATACTCATCCAGTGACACATTGTCTCTGAGTTTTATCTCTGAACATAAACAACCTTGGTTGTTTGAGTTTGAGCACAACACTGAAAGGGTCCTTTATGTATTTGAGACCTTGATATTTGAACAGCAAGAGCCAGTCAGACACTCTGTCCCTGAATGACAAACACAAACAGCAGCAGCTTGATGAGATCAACAGAGTCCCTGTGCGAAACAGAGTGAGAAGTGATGCTTATGCAATGCTCTAGAAAATTCACCAGTGGGCCTTGTATTGATAGAGTAACAATTTCCTGGCATTGTTTGTTGGTATGCCTAGATGTGGTTTTGGCGCTTTTTAATTCTGCCTTTTTAATGCTTGAATTGCCAGTGGTGCTACTCATAATTATTTTAATTGATTAATTTGTTCCTCGCAGATATACAAAGCTTCAGTACATGTTGATGCATCTTCTATGAATATTTTCCTGAAACAGTGTATATGCAATTTATTTGACTTAAGTGTTGGTTCTGATGATTATTGTGCAACCAGGAGTGAGTGGTAATTCCAGCTCTTCTCACACAGTAAGATCCTGCATGTTAATCAGATTTCTCTCTACCTGTTGGCTGTAATCAGGGTTTATGAAGGTATGGCTCACCATGTTGGTCTTAAAAAATGGCAATCTGAGCCTTTGTTATTCAAGTGTGGCCTAAAATAAACATTTTTAATTTAAACTGGCTGCTTAAAGCATATAAACAAAGTTTATAAATAGTGCAATACATATTGTACCAAAACTAAATCTGAGGAATAGCATTATTTAAATAAAACAAGTAGAAGGAAAAATGCCTTGTGTTTCAGAGGAGACTTAGAAGATGAAACTGCCTTTGTGAACCTTATCTCTTCTGATAGATCAATCTGAATTATGAAGGCTTTGATAGATGGGATTTGAAAACAGCAATTCAAATAAATGGTCAACCTTGAAGGTGCTCAGTTGTATTATTTTGCTTTTGCAGGGGTGGCATATGGAAGTCAGAGCAGTGAGGGTGTGAGCTCCCTCTCCAGCTCCCCCTCCAACAGCCTTGAGACTCAGTCCCAGAGTCTGTCCCGGTCGCAGAGCATGGACATTGACACTGCCTCCTGTGAAAAGAGGTAAGAGTTGTTCGAACGGCACATTGAACTATTAGTTCAAAGACTTTAATAACCCAGATAATTAAAAAGATCAACGTGATTTTCCAAAAAAACCTCTTTGATGATCTTTTTGATGATCAATCTCAGGCTTTGTGTTGGAACAAATGTATCCTCCAAATAACCACAGACATGCAATAATGATCACAGATTGTTTTGAATAAAGTTGCAACAATATTCAAGAGTGACTTGAACCTTCAGTTACTACAAGTCTGCTTAGTGATGAAGAGACTTTCTAAGCACTTCGCCTTTGTCTCCCTCCAGCATGTCCCAGGTGGATGTGGACTCAGGGATCGAGAACATGGAGGTGGAGGACAGTGATCGCAGGGAGAAGAGGAACTTGACTGACAAGGTAAACGGCAGTAGTGAGCATTACTCAACCAAGATGCCCTTTAATCCTGTATTACTTGACTTTGATCATGGCCACATTGAGATCAAGGAAGTCAGTAAAATCATAAAAGGAGTCTTTGGGTATTTACAGAAGTTTATTCCCAGGGACTTTCCATACACGCTATTCTTGGTTTCAATTTCTTTTTATTTCACTTCATTGATAAACAAATGCATACCTTTCTTTTAAAGAGAGATAGTGATCACCAGATAATGAGTATCATGAGATTTAGAGTAATGCTAGTGAAATGGCTCTAGATTGTGATCCAACCCTTACTGTATCTATCTTTTCTTGACCTCAGGAAACCTCTGCAAACTCAGATGTCTCAGAAGAACAGGCTCTGCAGCTCATTTGTAAGATCCTCCGCGTATCGTGGAAGGAGCAGGACAGAGATGTCATCTTTCTCCCTTCACTGGCTGCAGAGTTCCACCAGAACCCTAAAGATGGTATGTCGTTGAGTAACGTCTTAACTCATTAGGACATTACAGGCATGCTGTTTCTCAGTTGGGATACCACTTCCCTAGGGTACAATGTGTTCCATATGTACTTATTTGCACAGTAGGTACATCTCAACAGGGTAGTTTTGTCTCAAACACGACTGTTTCACACTTTTTTTCTTCCTCTTCAAAATGTACATCATTCTAATTGTACACTTGTATAACTAACATTTGTATAATGCAGTGTACCAGAGCAACTGCTACAGATTCATCTTCAGCCATTTTCACAAGTTTGGTGAAGAGGTTATTCTGCCCCTCACTTAGTGTGAGAAGGGTCCACTTTTAGATGACAAGTGTTCAAATGGTTGAACTACACTGCATTTTGCCGTTCTTTCCAATGTGATGGCTTATGCACTCAAAATTACAGAAAACAAAAACTGAGACACCAAAACTGTGAAAAGTCTTGTGTTTTGTATACAACCAAGTATGATCATTTTAAAAACATGACCATTCTGTTCTCATCTCTCTCCTGTAGTATACTCTGACTTCAAAGACCTGATTGGCCAGATCCTGATGGAAGTCTTAATGATGTCCTCCCATTCACGCGTCCAAAACCCATTCGCCAGCTTGACCGCCACCTCTCAGCCAATTGCTGCAGCCAAATCCCCCGACCACCGCCTGACGCTGGTGCAGCCCTCCAGCCAAGGTGGCAGCCCGATGGGCCCCAGTGCAGGGTCCTTTGGGGCCAGCTCTCTGTCCAGGCAAGTCCTTTGAGTCCATGTAATGAGCTCTTGCAGTGTAACTCCCAGATACATATCTAGGCTCTGTATCGGTCCCTTACACTAAAGGGGTTCTTTATCGATATGTTATTGGTGTTCCATGATCGGATAACCTATGTGTTTTTTTTTATTATTATTATACACTTACGTATTTTTTGAGCGTTGACTATTTCTAATTCTAAAGACATCATTGTTAGATGAGTTTTGCCAATCTTCGTCTCAATGTTGTCCACAGTCTGTATGGGTGTGGTAGTCCTCACCCGATGGCTTTGGATGCAGCCAATAGGACCTCCCCATCTCTCCCCAGTCCTACTACACCCTCTCTACCTTCCACACCCTCTACCCCACAGTTCATTGTGCCCCCTAGCCCAACTGCTACTACCGCTCTGAGACCATCTCTCAACCCCCCATCTGCCCCCATGCCCATCTCCCAGCGCTATCGGCCTTACTCTGTCACCTCTCCCTGGGGGGCTCCTTCCCCATCCAGCCCTGGTCAAAGAGGATTTACCTTCTCTGGACCCTCTCCTAGCCCCGCAGGACCCTCTGTTCCTCCAAACACCCCAGTTCCTGTTCCACCAACCAGCCCCCAGACCCTCACCCTGAGCTCATCTAGGGCTCACAACCAAGCCTCCTCCACACCCATTGTGCCCCCTTCTCCCAGAACGAATGCCCGACAGTCTGCCTTTGCTTCCAGGATCCCACCATCTAGGTATCTCATCAGTCCTTTGCATGTCAGTGTGCAAACATACTAAAACCATAACTCTTTGTGAACCCTCAGATTTGAAGTTGGCTGTGAACTGAGCCTTTGGCCAGATCCTTTTTGTTGTTTACATTGCTTCTGCTGCTAAGTTTCTTGCAGTTACTTCAAATATACACAAGCTTCATAACAAACAAATGGCTAATATTTAGACTGCTTGTACAAAATTCAATGAACAACCTGATATTGTATTATATTTATGTTTAAAGTCTTAAGTTAAAAGCAAATGGAGAGTTCAAGCTTTGATTAATTATTTTGTATTAGTATTAGGCTGGTTTTGCTTGTTGCTAACCTGCTTTACTTTGAAAAAAATCGAACACAGTTTCAGACGAATAACAAGCATAGTTTAACAAACATGTTGTATTTGTCCTACATTGCTTAAAATCGTTGGCAAATTAGATGCGTCTGACCCCTCTTTGCTTTGGCTTGCTCAAGATAAGTGATGGTGACAGTCAGTTCAGTTATTGGTTGGAAAAAATGTTCTGAAGGGGTATAAAAAGCTGCAGCCATTAGTAGGGCTGCTCGATTATAGCAAAAAATATTATTTTGCTCAATAATTTATATCACGATTATTAAATAAGATTATTCATTGACTTTGAAAATATCCATTTATTGAACTTTAAAACAAATACAAATAATAATTTGAACAGTATCTTTTTAACTGTTGATTACCCTGAACGTATAATTCAACTGAAAAACCAATACTAAATTAAATAAATGATACATTTATATTCACATTTAAATAAATAATATCAAAATAATAAATACCAATAAACAAGATCAACAAATATTTTGGAGCGCACTTCCACAAGCTACTAAACATATGATAAATAAAAATAAATTAGACCAAAATAAATTAGATCAAATATGTTGCAGTGCACTGTCACAACCTAGCAAAGCTAAATAATTGTTTTTTTCGATTATGTTGTTTTCGTAATTGTGGCAGGCCAAAATCGTAATTGCGATTTAAAATACGATTAATTGCACAGCCCTAGCCATTGGGCATTAATGAATATTTAAAAAGCAGCACGAGAAGTGGTCTTCAAGCAAGCATGCAACCCTCCAGCATCCTTTCCTTGGTGCTCCCTTCTTCCTTCTCATCTTTCAGTGTGACTTGTTACCATTTCATCCCTGTCTTCATGTTTTTTCACTTCCCTTCTGTTTGCTCATGTTGCACAACATCCTCTTTTCTTCCAACCTTTCACCTTGTGTCTTTCCCCCGTCATGTTAGCCCCTTGTCGGTCCTATTCTCTGCCCTCTCTGACATGTCTCAGGACAGCAGTGATGAAGAATCTCAGGAGGAGGAGGATTTTGCAAGGGTTCAGTTTGGGTCCAGGTACACCACTGCACGGTGTGTGTGTGTGTGTGTTTGTGCTTGCTCTGTTTGGAGTCCATTGCATTGTGCAGTGGGCCCACGAGGCTTACCACTAACAGCGCACAAACACACCCGGGTAGAGAAATGAAAAATAAATGCTTGTAGGCCATTTTATAAGGAGTGTTCTAACTGTCATCAGAGGTTACACGTTTAACGTCTGTTGACTATAACTTAATATATTTGATGGTGGTTAGTATTAAATATGCTTTCTACAGATTTGCAGAAACTCCATATAATATATAGTCTTTATTCTGCAACCTTGAACATTAAAAATCCTTTTTTTCTTAAGACATTCCCTGCCTAAGTGGTACCCACCTATTATGTATAATGGTTGACTTCAATTCTTTAATATGAATGTTTATGAAGTATAGTTTTATTTACAAGATCTTGCCCTTCCGTGATCAAGCATTGAAACCTTCCAATATCATATAACCCTGATAGTACAGCATGCAAACTGTCATGCCTACGGTAGACTTGAATTGTGTTATTAATTTAATGTGTTGACTGTATCATTAGCAAAGAAAGAGGACATTTGTTTTGCCATGTAGTTGTTATTTAACAATATAATGTTTTGATTTCATTTTGAGCTTTGAGAGAAAACTCTAAATGTTTGCTGTGTTTTGCAGCAATTTGCAAACAGGTTTTGTGGTAACAACTGACCACTAACAGCAATTTAAACAGTTACATGTGGCGAGCTGAATCCTATTCCTCTCCTATCTGCAAACAGCTCTTGAGTGTTTAACATGATGATATTCTCTTTCAAGAGCCCATTACTGAGATGCTGCAATGCTGTCCCTAATGCTTTGTAGTTTGTTTCTTTCAGGACCCTTGAGAGTGGGTTTGAGTTTGTTTGCTATACATACATTAAGGCCACATTTACACGAGAACGAAACGGCTTGTATCTGCATAGTTTCTCTTACGTATAGCCCTATTATTTACACGAGGCCGTAACAAACGGACCCCACAAACGATAACGGGTCCCAAGGTGGATAGATTTGCAAACGAAACTCTCTGGGGGGTCAAACGAGTCCGTGTAATCGCCTCTATACGAATATTTCCTGAAAAAATAACGATAGCCCCACCTCTCCCCGCCTCTGCTGCTAACTGCTGTAGCATGGCCAGTAGCTACTGTCAGTAGCTACTGCTACTGACCATGCTACAGATGTTAGTACAACATCTACAGCTCGACCATGCTACAGATGTTAGAGCAAAATCTACAGCTCCTCTACCACAACCATCAGCAACAAGTGGACATGGAGAATTACATGAACTACTACATGTTGCTAAATCCACCGCGGGGCATAAACAGAAGGGTAGCCATGGCAACATTGCTCCGGGCTGCTCCGCGGTCTTCTTCGCTGCTTTTGGTGTATTTTGGCGGAAGTTACAGCGCCACTTACAGTCCCGGCATATGTACTACAGCGTTTCCAGCGGTCTCGTTTGAACAGACACGTTAAATGAAACAAATGCATGTGAACGGAAGATTTTTTTGAAAACGCATACTGTGCATAAACGCAAACGTTCCCGTGTAAAAGCAGCCTCAATGTGTTTGCAGCTAACGATGGATCTCTCTGTGCTCTGATTTTTTCTGTTATTTAATCAACCTCTTTGTTTCCTATTTACATTTTGTTTGCAGTCTTGTTTGTGGAGGGGGGATGTCCTGCGATACAGCCAGCGACCGCTTCACCATTGAAACATGTAAAGAGACAGAGATGCTGAACTACCTCATTGAGCGCTTTGACAGTGTTGGCATGGAAGAGAGGAAAGCTCCCAAGGTTAGTGTCTGCCTATAAGACATAAAAAAATGTTATTCAGATGATTTACGCTAATGATTGTGTCCCCTGTTTCTTTATTGCTAAAGTGGAGAACCCATTAAGAGATTAAATCAAGGCTTTACGATTGTAATGATCCTTCTTATAATATCAACTGCAGAGTTCGTTTCAGATTTTCTCCATATCTAATTTGGTTACAAAATGTCCTGAGGACAGAAGTACAGTCTGTACTAGCTGCAGGGCAGATGGTCTGGAAACAAGTGAAGGATTCTCCTCGTCAAAGAACACTGTGATTCATCAGAGTCCGGAGAGAGTTTCTGTGAAATCGACGGAGCATATTTTGATAACACCTCTCACCTTTTTCTCTCTTCTCCTACCCTTTTCTCTCTCAGATATGCAGCCAACCAAATGCCAGCCAGCTTCTCAGCAACATTCGCTCTCAATGTATTTCCCATGTTGCCCTCGTCCTGCAGGGCACCCTGACACAGCCACGGTAAGAAAGTCAGCAACACACTGACAATCTTTGTTTTTTTATTAAATGATCTGTTATTTTATCTCTGTATGTTCTGTTCCTTTTTCAATTCTAGTCCGAGTCTCCATGGCAACTACTTTATCACCTTGGCTCCAGAAAGCATATTTATTTATTTTCCGCTCAATGCTTCTCTGTTTTCTTCCTGCAGGAGCCCTCTCCATCAGTCTCTGCTGGTACCTTATCTGCTGTGTCGGAACCTCCCGTACGGCTTTATTCAGGAGCTGGTGCGCATTACTCAGCAGGAGGAAGAGCTGTTCAGTCAGGTGGGAAGCATGGCCATCCATTTTTGTATACATGCTGATTCAGGCTCACTTTTGCTGAAACTCATTCATGCATACAGTGTGGCAGGAAGACCCCCCCAAACACACCCATTTTCAATCCTATCAAGTTTAGCAGGGATGACATATTTTTCCTTTCCATTGGGTTTCAGTCGATTACAGTCTATAATTCTAGGGCACACAAAAGTCTATGATGCTTCGATCATAACAAATGAAAACCACATTTATTATTTTTGAAGAGTTAATGCAAACGCTTGGAGTAAAAAGCCATTGTTAGGCTAAAGGCTGAAACTGTTACCTAGACATGCAATGAAATGTGATATTGCTCTGATGCATGACATCTTTGCTATCTTCTTTTTCAGATCTTTATTCCCATCCTCCGGGGGCTTGCTCTTGCAGTAAAAGAATGTTCCTTTGACAGTGACAACTTTAAATTTCCTCTTATGGTAAGAAAATGTTGTAATGGCCTTACCCCTAGTGTAGTACCATCCGTACTGGCATACACGATAATAAAGTACTGTAATGTCTTTTGGGCCCTCTGTTCATTTGGTTTGTTTAATAGTTAGTTAACTAGTTAGTTAACTCAACAAAGTTGTTGCAACTAGCTTATTACGACTGTAACAAGTAAATCATATCTTGACCAATAAACTAATCTCCAATTATGATTGTTAATTTGACTGAAGTTTGTAGGTCATGCCATGTAACCTGTTTCACCTGTAAAACGAACGAGAGTCGAGCATTGTTTCAGTTTTGTTTTGTTTTTGTTTTGTTTTTGCAGGCATTAGCTGAGCTTTGTGAAATCAAGCTTGGAAAGACTCACCCAGTCTGCAGTTTGGTGAGTGTACCTTTGGATGGCCAAAGCTCATTTATGTAGAAGCTCGGATTATCTAGGCCAGGGGTCACCAACCTTTTTTAGGGTGAGGGCTACTTTTAAAAAATAAAACAAGTCAGAAGCTACTTTTACTCCTCTTTTTCTTTGTTTTCTGCAGTGTATATATTTAGCACATTTTAACATTATTATATGCTGAGCTTTAACCTTTGTGTGCTGTTTGGGTCTGTGGGACCTGTTTTCAGTGTTTACTAAAAGAACATGTATGCAATTTAATTATTTTAACCTGCTTTATTTGGGGGTGGACCTCACCTCCTCTAGGGGGGTCCTCACCTCCTCTAGGGGGGTCCTCACCTCCTCTAGGGGGGTCCTCACCTCCTCTAGGGGGGTCGGGGGGCATGCACCCCCGTGAAGATTATTTTTAAATGTTGAAGTGAAAAGCATCAATCTGGAGCACTTTGAGCACATCATGAATTGATGGAAACAGCTCTCAACACTCAGATGAAAGGGAGCTGTTTACTTTTCAATAATCCAAACATCTTTAGAATATGATCACAACCAATAACAAATCATTTAAACTGGTTTATTCTTATCTTATGTTACCTAGTTAGCATTCTTTCTTTTTATTTATGCTTATTTTACTCCCCTTTCAAACTGTTTTTTGTTTTTTTTACTGTCCTATAGCACACATTGGAATGATTTCTTACTTTATCTATATTAAATAGATAAAGGTATGCTCTCCCTAGCTCTCTCTCTCTCCCTCCCTCCCTCCCCCCCAGCTCTCTCTCTCTCTCTCTCTCTCTCTCTCTCTCTCTCTCTCTCTCTCTCTGTCTCGCTCGCTCACAGAGGCTGTGTGCTCCTCCGTGGCGATCGACGGCTTGCGTTAAAAAAATAAAATAAACATATTTGTAAAGCGGGGGGACACAAACGGGATTTCGAAAAGAGCGGGGGACATTTCCCCCCTGTCCCAGGTGGAAATTACGCCATGCGTGTGTGCGTCAAGTGCAATAAATATATATGCAAGTTGCAACACGCAACTTGAGTAAAACTCTGCCCCCCATGTGTTGTATATGGCTGGCATGATAGGCTGTTCAATGGGGCTGATGTGTTGTGTAGATTCTGCCAGAAGGAAAATCAGCGGGGAGGTGCCACATTGAATTTCTTCCAGACTGCAACGCTGGTCCCGCAAATCAAGCAAGAACGTGATTGGTCGATATTCAGTGTGGGGGTGGGGGGAGGAGGGGTGTTAGATAGATATAGAGTTGTAGTAAGTAGATAGAGTTCGCTATGATTTAGGTTTCGTTTATGCATAGGGTAGATTCTTTTAATTACATTTCCTTTTTTGTTTTGTGTATTTTATACATTTTGGATTTGCTTGGCGAGCTATTTTTAGAACATGCCCCGCGGGCGACTCACGTTGCCCCTGCGGGCGACCAAGTGCCCGCGCGCGGGCACCGTGTTGGCTACCTCTGATCTAGGCTATTTATTTCCAAATCAAGTACCAAAAAAAAGTAATGTATTTATTTCTATCAAGTATTTGCTAGTCTGGCTAGTGTCTCTGTTGTTTATATATTCATCATACCAGCATTGACGTCAGCACAGAAGAATGTCCTCTGCTTATTTTATTCATGACACTAAGTCGTCTTTACGCTTCACAGAAGAATGGAAAGGCGTGATTCCCCTGTGCAAAGAAAAGGACTGAGTCTATATTTAGAGCCAACAACTTCTGAAATCAGAGTTGTTTGAGTTCACATTTAGTTCTATAGGATGCTTATCTATGTTAGATTATTATTTAATCAATGCCAAGTGCCATTGTGTCAGTAAATATTTGATTAGTTTTAGCTCATTATCTTCCGCTGTTATTGACTGACACATACTGGCTTTCACTGCAATTTACTCTTTGGGTGATTTGTTCAACATAACAATAAAAAAACAAAACCCTGTATGACCCTATGTAAAATGAGTCTGTGTTGGTATTTTGTGCAGGCTACGTCTTTGCCTCTGTGGTGTCCCAAACCTCTGAGCCCTGGTTGTGGCCGAGAGATCCAGAGACTGTCCTACGTGGGAGCCTTCTTCAGCCTCTCTGTGTTTGCTGAGGATGATGTGAGTAGTCTAATCAATTCAATCCAATTATCAACAAACCTGAGTAGCATTTAGATTGTAGCCAATTTGAATACTGAACAGCTGAATACTCTAAGAAAAGAGAACAGAGACAAGTTGCTAAATGTAAAGACGCTTTGTTATCCTTTAGACGAAAGTAGGAGACAAGTATTTCTCTGGCCCTGCCATCACCATAGAGAACACACGAGTGGTCAGTCAGTCCCTGCAGCACTACCTGGAGTCAGCAAGGGTGAGTCTCAGCTTCATAATGTATTACTTTAATTGCTTATCTATGTATAAAGAATAATTTGTTAAAGTTATTTTTAATGTTTTTCAGGGTGACTTGTTCAAAATTCTCCATAACATCCTGCTAAATGGGGAAACTCGCGAGTCAGCTCTTAATTACATGTCAGCTCTAGTCAACTACAATGTGAAGAAAGCCCAGATGCAGGTATTTTGTACTTCATATTCACATCCAACATAACTATTAAAAACGTCATCTTGTTAAACAGTTCAGTTATAATGTTTACATAAGTCTTGTTTAGTGTTTTGCTGTACATTTATAATTTAAGTAAATGGAAATAAAGTATGCCAGGTTATGTGATGATGAAGTTCTGTATACTAAACTGCAATATCAACCTTTTCTACATGCAGTACAAGTATAGGCTTTATACTGGTGCTTCGTGTTATTGCATTATCCCCTTTGCTGCTGTAACAATGCACATGTCCCTGCAGTGGGACTAATAAAGGATTATCCTTTTTTATCTAATGTCCCCTCATTGTGTCATCGAGACTTATGTACTTTACAGTAAACATCCCTCTTAATGTATGTTTCCTGATTGTTCTCATATTCAGTGTTTATGTACATCCCCTGAACATGAATTTTCACTTGTTCTAAAATCACCCTCTTTTCTCCCAGACCGATGATAAGCTTGTGTCGACAGACGGCTTCATGCTCAACTTCTTATGGGTGCTGCAGCAGCTCAGCATGAAAATAAAGCTGGAGACCGTGGACCCTTACTACATTTTCCACCCCCGGTGTCGGCTTGTCGTCAGCCTAGAGGAGACGCGTGTGAAAGCCACCATGGAGGAGCTCAAGAGCTGGCTGACTGACATGCGTGAGTTGATATAAATAAATAAAAAACAGCTTTATCATTTGGACAGTTTTTTTATTTTACAAAAACAAAAAGTGGACTCTCGTTCATGGATTGCTGCCATTATCAGAAATCTGTTAAATACCCATAGGAGTCGTTTTTAGACGCAGTATGCTTTAAGAGTGATTCATCAACCTGCTATATGTGTGATTTCTATGCATCTTTTTTGATCCAGTTAATTTTGGATGAATCATCCTTGTGCGACTGCCTCCGCATTTCTTCTGCCTCTGCTTAACCAAATAAGGCAGAGGTAGGTCGTCTACAAAAAATGTGCACCTACACATGCTGCACTGTATACAATTCATGTCCTACATAATGGTGACCTAATTTGGCTTTATTTTTGGAAGCATTAAAGCTGATATATGTAACCATAATTAAACTTGTGCTTGTTCTCACTGATGATGGTATGTGTTACCATATTGAAAACAATTATTCTATTTTTTTTTCTTGTGGACAGAGGATGACCCAAGCAAGTTCTCAGAACCCAAGTTCCCCACCGAGTGTTTCTTCTTGACGCTTCACGCCCACCATCTGTCCATCCTGCCTGGCTGCAGGCGTTACATCCGCAGGTTGCGGGCTATCCGAGAACTGAACAGGTATTAATTAATACTTTTTTTTTAGTGACCATGCACATTTTTGAACATCTCTATAAAAGTATACACACAAATAAAGCATGCTCCTTCCACCGGTGTTTAATGGTGTTTTCCCCCATGTCAGGACTGTAGAGGAGCTGAAGAACAGTGAGAGCCAATGGAAAGATTCTCCTCTAGCTAGTCGGCACAGAGAGATGCTCAAGAGATGCAAAACCCAGCTCAAGGTTTGTTTAACATCCTTGTAGATTAATTCATTGTCTTTTCTTGATTAATTAAACATTTAGCACTGATTTAAAGGTACAAACCTCAAAATATTCAGCTCTCAGTCTACTGCATTCAAGGATCCTGCGCTATCCCTAAATGCTGAAACATGCACATCTGTCACAGAACATATTTTCAGAGGTGTGATCCTTATCATGTGTGACTTTGTGCTGTCAGAAACTGGTGCGAGCCAAAGCTTGTGCTGACGTGGGCCTTCTGGATGAGAACCTGCTCCGCAGATGTCTGCAGTTCTACAGCACAGTCATCCAGCTCATTCTGCGCATGGTGGACCCCGCCTACCCCAAGTGAGTCTCCCTGCCACTGACACACTGTTGTGATATTAAGTAAAAGGAACAGATATGGCATCACACAAAGCATTTGTTGTGCTAGATGTTATGCGGTGTTTAACTTGAATGTGTATCATGAATAGAAATCTAAGTACCATGTTTGTTTCTTCATTCCTTACACAGCATTAACCTGCCACTGCACCCGGAGATTCCTAAAAGCTTTGCTGCTCTGCCCGAGTTCTACATTGAAGATGTGGCAGAGTTTCTGCTTTTTGTCGTGCAGTAAGTTTATAGTTCAGCCTTAACCACTCGCCTCATTCTTCAACCATGTTTAAACAAATCACATATTGTGTCGGGGAGTAGATGTTATAAGACCATATAATAATGAAAAAAAAGGCAAGACTGATGCATAACCTCCTCCACCTCCTCCCATCATCCAGGTATTCCCCCCAGGTTTTATATGAGCCCTGTGTGCAGGACATAGTCACCTTCTTGGTGGTGTTCATCTGCAGTCAGAACTACATCAGGAACCCTTACCTTATCGCCAAGTTGGTGGAGGTGCTGTTCGTCACCAACCCTGCCGTACAGCCTCGTACTCAGCGCTTCTCTGAAATGATGGAGAACCACCCGTTGTCTATCAAGCAGCTGGTTCCCGCCCTCATGAAGTTCTACACTGGTGAGTTTCATGGAAACCGTAATTCGAAGCTGTTGTTGTAGACAATTAAATGTAGTGTTAGATATACAGCTCTACAGCCTTGATCCTTTCATTTTTTCCTAAAACAAACTGTCTCCTCTTGTCAGATGTTGAGCACACCGGAGCCACCAGCGAGTTCTATGATAAGTTCACTATACGGTACCATATAAGCACTATCTTCAAGAGTCTGTGGCAGAACCTTGCCCACCATGGCACCTTCATGGAGGAGTTCAAGTGAGTCCCCTTTGCATAGTTTGTGTCATGTAAAAGACAGAAGGCACAGTTTAGGTTTGATTCAGTGGTTGTCTAACTTCTTTCATGTTTACTCCCCTCCAGCTCTGGCAAGCAGTTTGTGCGCTACATCAACATGCTGATTAATGACACCACCTTCTTGTTAGACGAGAGCCTTGAGTCCCTGAAGCGTATCCACGAAGTTCAAGAAGAAATGAAAAATAAGGAGCAGTGGGACCAGCTGCCTAGGGTTAGTGCTCAGCCTAATTGTAATAATATGATGATAATGATAATACAACTTTCCTGATGATAAACTTTCATTAAACCTATATATGCAATTATATAATTACCTACATATAAAACAATGCTGCAAAAGTTAGTTATTGGACTTTAAGGCACTAAAATAATAAAAATAATGATGAAAATAATAATAATTAATATTTAAAATGCATACACAAATGATGGAAAATAGCTAGACTTAACTAGACATTCTGAGTACATTCATTTATTTTGTCATCTGTTAGACTAGTTTATGTAATTTATAAAATTGCTGTTCCCCCTAAAATAATCATGCAAAAGCATTGTTGACTTTCACCTTCGGTTTAAACTTTCAGGAGCAGCAGCAGAGCCGGCAATCCCAGCTGACTCAGGATGAGCGTGTGTCTCGTTCCTACCTGGCCCTCGCCACAGAGACGGTTGAAATGTTCCACATCCTCACCAAGCAGGTCCAGAAGCCTTTCCTCAGGCCTGTGAGTGTCGCTGCCCCCACTGGACATTTAAAAAACTGTCACACTTTGTATTGTCACTATGTATTCTCAATTAAAGAATAACCATTACTGTAAATGCAACATAGTCAGCCTACGTTAGGCACTCTGAGCACAACAAGCTTTAATAACATACTCTTTTTTTTTTCTTTACAGGAGCTGGGGCCTCGTTTAGCCGCCATGCTAAACTTCAACCTCCAGCAGCTCTGCGGGCCCAAGTGTCGGGACCTGAAAGTAGAAAACCCAGAGAAGTATGGCTTTGAGCCCAAGAAGCTCTTAGACCAGCTGACTGACATCTACCTGCAGCTAGACTGTGCACGCTTTGCTAAAGCCATTGCAGATGACCAGGTTTGTACTAAAGTTTATAGAAGATACAGTAATTTCATTTGTTGTTGACTTTAATGAGAAAACACAAGTGAGAGGTTGTTATAATGGCCATTGGGAAAGGCTACAGGAAGTTATGCTACATCCTCACAAGCATGGCCGTATTGCCTTGAGGACATCGGCATGAATTACTCTATTGTACTTAATAAATGATATCTCGTGCTTCAACCATTTTTCATCAATACCCACTTCTCCCCAGATAATGCAAGCAGGAAGCAGTCACAGACCAAATTCTGTAGATTAGATTTCAAAAGCCGTGAGGGCAGTCACTATAACGTATATGTTGCACTGGGTTGGCTTGATGATGGAGCATTTTCTACTGACATTTAGTGTGTTTGCTACTTCTAACTAACCTTAATACCACTTTTAAATTGTTTTGGCCTTCCTGCCTCATATGTGTACTTGATTAAAAATAATATGTTAGGGTAACTTGTAAAGACAACCTGCAGCTGCGCTTTAATAATTTCCCCCTCCTCTTTTATCTGCAGCGGTCGTACAGCCGTGAGCTCTTTGAAGAGGTCATCTCGAAGATGAGGAAGGCTGGTATTAAGTCTTCTATTGCCATTGAAAAATTCAAGCTGCTATCGGACAAGGTGGAGGAAATAGTCGCCAAGAACTCCCAATCCGAAATGGACTACAGCGACGCACCTGACGAGTTCAAAGGTGTGTGTGTCTGGAGAAAATGTCACTTGCTCAGCAATTTTGTCTGACCTAAGGTCAGTTGGTGCAGACAGACAAGATCTTCAGAAGCCTCTGTTGCTGTTGAATTCCAGACATTAGCGGGGGCTTTTGCAGCTCATAGAGGTCATATAGAGAGCTTAGAGCGAGGCTATCCTGTAACCACAGACTTAATATAATCTAGATCAAGAACGTGGCCCACATTCCACCTTTGATTCGCAGATATGCCAGCCAGCCCACCACAGTTTGCGGGAGTGTGCCGTACGGGAGGCCTGCGTATCGCCTTTCTCTGCGGTTAAAATCTCCCACGCCAGGTTTTATTTTTGTAACACACAAGTCCTACTGTAAAATCCATGTGACATTGCTATAAGGGCACACTTTTGACGGCCCTCATTGAGAATTTATTGGATATTTCTTTTACAGTTGTTTATGATAGCTGCACAAATAGTGTTTCCTATAAAACCTTTTTTTTTTACTCAGCTGTGCTTCGACATGTCACCAACGTTTGGTGATGACGCGCCTTACAGCTTGATAATATTTAATTTAGTTATTTAATGTAGTTTATTTTTGTTTTATTTCATTTTTTATTAATTCATTCTTAATTCAAAGACATTTGCGAAAGTAAGTAAAATTTATTTATAAAGCGCTTTTCACAGACAAAGTCACAAAGTGCTTGACAAAACATTAAAACATCATAGGAATAATAAATGACCACAAAAGCCACGTGTTAAGTGCTAAAAACACAATAAAAACACAATAAATACACAATAAAGAAAGAAAGCAAGCCAGAGGGTAGAATAAATAGTAACCTCTGCTCACATGTATGCACAACATTTTAATATGAAGATTCAACAGGCTATGATGTTTGTCAAGCCTCTTGTATAGCCTCTTGTATGACAATAGCACTTAGCATGCTGATTCTGGGAAAACTTTTAACTCCCAAGATATCTAGTTGAAGCTTATTTCTTATCATTGCGAAAGTGATATGTTCTTAATCATCTTATAAATGTATGCTTGACCTTGTTGAAACAGACCCTCTGATGGACACACTGATGACTGACCCTGTGATATTGCCTTCGGGAAACATCATGGACCGATCCATCATCCTGCGCCACCTGCTCAACTCCCCCACTGATCCCTTCAACAGGCAACCTCTCACAGAAAGCATGCTGGAGTCAGGTAACCCACCATGATGCTGTTCAACAGTTATTACATTAAGTTGTGTTCAAGGAAGGAAAGAGCAAAAGTCTTTCTTACTAGGTACAGTCAATAGGTTATTTTGTTTTAGATTTAAGGCAAGTGATTTCAGGATACCTTAATGTAAAATGAAATGACAGCCTACTACATTAAAATGTTAGTTTCTTATACATTCTTCACAATTGTTTTGTATTTCTACAGTCCCTGAGCTGAAGGAGAGGATCCACACCTGGATGAGAGAGAAACAGGGCGGACGGCCTGTCTGAGAACACCTACGCCTGGCCTGTTAACCATCATTAAAAGAGCTGTCCATCGACTGAATTCAGTGTCACGACTACAAAAAAACCCATTTGAATGGGGAAAAAAAAAGAGCTGATTTGATTTTATTCGCATTTACCCTTTTTTGTCTCAAACCATTATCATGGTTCTAAAAACAAAATATAATAAAGTTAAGACTTTTACGTTTTTTTTTCCTCATGAGTTTGTGTATATATATATCAAAATATATACATATATTTAACAAAAGTTAGATAATGCATTATAGTGCTGCAAGAATACGTTTCCAACACCAACGGGGTTACCAGCAAGATGCATAGAGTCCATTCATTGATCATTTTCCTTTAAGGTTCTCATTTTGTTTTGTACTACTCTGTATGTTGGCTTTATTAAAGACTTGTGGTTTTAGGGAGAGGGGAGAGGGGAGGGCAATACATGTGGGAGATTGTGGGTGGGTTCTGATAAAATTGCTATTTCCGAGTTTTCATTATCAAGACTGTGACAATGATAAACTTGAGTCCACATAATGTTTGCTGATGTTCCAGAGCTATGTGCTTGTAGTTCAGAACTGGGAATATCCATTAAGGATGTAGTTTAAAGCAAACTAATCCTAAATGTCAGCTTCTTTTTGAGTACAGTAGGAAGATAAGCAGTGTTTCACGAAATACTGTATGTTCAGTCTTTCCTTTTTAGACACATTTCCCCTGCTGACTTCAATAGACTGAAATTACTTCTGTGTGCATGGCCTCAAGTCCAGAACCTCCTAAGCGCCTCATGGACAAATAACCCTCTTTTAGGCGACCTGGAAAGAACGTGAGAGAATGTAGCATGACCACCAGAAACACCATTGTAGGAGCACACCATTAAACGTCTGCTCTTCAGAACCACTGACCTCCCCCGTCAAGATGGTCTCGTTTTAATGGCACTGTACGTAACATGACCGTACTGACCTTAACTGTACAGGAAAAGATTTCCTTTAACCACAGACTTGTTTTGGAAGCTAGGATTTTGAACTGAAATAAATGATGATGCACATTATTTTACAACTGGTCACTGTTTTATCTACCGATTGATATTGTAGTGGTTATGATTTGTCTTTTTCTCTGAGCAAAGCTTTTTTGGTTTACTGTATTTAACCTTATGAAAGGATGGACTCAGCATCAGAATATCAGAGATTATACAAAGTCTTTATTTTATATCTTTAATAAATGTTTATGTAAAAAAGCATGCAGCAATCCAGGTAAATTTGACAAGTACAATAAATATCAAAATTATCAATAGAATCACCCAAAGTCAAATAGCAAAAAAAGAGAAAATCTCCAGTTAAGATTAGATGGTTAATTTACAATTCTCCTGTTAAAGATTATTTTGTATTACATAAAAAAACAATGCATCCCAATTCCTGGCAGCACAAAAGCTGCTTTTGCAAATGTGGTTTCCCAAATGCACAAGCTTAGTCATTCTTCGACTGTAATTGTTATAAAGTAATGAATCAAACTTGGCGACTATCCCAATTTATTTGATTGGAAAGGTTTAAACATTGTGTTTAAGGGAAAACAGGAGCAAGGCTTTAGGCTTTTGTATTTGTTGCACAACATGAAAAACCTTACTGCACAAAAAAGTATGTATTACCTAAATTAAATGAATTGCGTCCAACACAGAAAACGGAGCAGAAAAATAGGTTTGTTCTTTGTATTTCTATATATATAGTACCTATGAAAGCATGTGTGGCACTGGTCAAATATATATGTTAAAATGTAGAATAGGTAGATGTTAATGAATTGGCAAAACCATTTATTTATCTAAGCAATGAGATGCTCCATCCTCCATGCTCGCTAGGCGGCGCTCTTCGCGGTGACCCCGGTGTTGCGGTGACAGCGGTGCGGGGAGCGGTGGGCAGAAATCCTGCAGTGTGGCGTCACGACAGGAAAAAAAGAAGAAACCCCGCCCACTCCCTCTCCCTTTCCGATTCCGAGCCTCGTCATTGGCTCTACGATACATTAGTCACAGCTGTCTCTTCGTTCATTGGCCTGTCCGGCTGTCAGTCAGCGTGGCCGAGAGGGAGTTGACGTAATCTCTCCAGTAAATCAAGGCAATCCATCAATTCTTCTTTTCGCCTGTGTGCAGATCAGACGTCCGCCTTCCCATCTCTACTGGAAAATAAACTCGCCAAGGGGTCGCCGGCAGCAGTCCCAGGTCCATCCGGCGGAGGATACCGCTATAATGGCTGATTTCCACCTGAGTGGACTTTACAACAGTTTTCGCGCTTGCGGATTTTGATAGAAAACAACACATCTTGAAACGCCCGCTAGCTAGCGTTAGTTCTCGCCGCTGTCCTGTGGTGTTATCTTGGTGAAGTCTTTAAACGTGAGTAAAAACGATGGATTAATTTATGTATTTATATTTTGTAACGTTTGTAGTGCATGAGGTTGTTATAACAATATTATTTGTGCAGTTGTCGGTGGCTGGTGAGCAGTTTTAGCTAACGTTACTGTCACGTTAGTGTATTTGCACCGATAGCTTCATAGTCCTGGTTCCGATAAACGTTGTACATTCATACATCATTTGCAAATCGTATACTATTACTTATTTACGATCATAGTATTTGTACGAAGGATATAAGTATCCAACAAAAGGCAGACACCGGAGGTTACTTCTTTCTCGGCCATAAACAGAGCGCAAAGTCATTAACATTTCATGTTTCAACCCTAGCTTGCAGTTAAATATACTTAATAGTTGCCGTTTAAAGCATTACACCCACTGTTAACATCGTCAAACATGAACATTGTGTCGAGTCTGTGCTGCTTAAATAAGCATGCAACTCCTCCCTGCACTATTCCACAACATACAGCCGCCGTGGATTAGCCTACTTCCTAACATCGGTGAATTTAATTAGAAAAAGGAGGAAATGTAAGCTGTTTGCCTTCACACAATGAACCCAGTTGGATGGAGCAGGCAGGCCCGGCTCACTGCCCGACTGTAGCTCACACAAAATAGGGTAGATAGAATTTCATGGGCGTATGCTTTTTAGCAAGTATGGCTGACTCCAAGGACATGAAAAAAACATTGGCAAATGTAGCCACTGGCCACGGGATGTAAGGCTTCAGTAGACTGTCAACCCATTGGAAAGTTGTCTTTAGAAAAAAAAACATTATGTGTATGCATATCAATTATTACATGCATTATTCATATCTTGTATTTGTCAATAACCGTATTTTGCATATGCTTTGGAATATATATAAAATGCATTGCCCTATGTATCCTTATTTTAGATGTTAAATGTATAATGTGCTGCTGTTTACAAAATATTAAAGCCCTTCTGTGGTTTGGAGCGGCCATATTTGTTGTATGCTGTTATGAATAGAAATGTGCAGGGGGTGGACTTTCATTGTGTTTGATATACATCATGTGATAATGGGTATTGCATTTTCTCAGTGTATCTTTTCCAGAGTCGTCTTCGTTTATTAAAAACCAGATATTCTCTTTGTAAATTGGATGCAAACATCTCTTTTCTGTCTTTATTTCAGGAGGGATATCAAAGGAATCTTACTTGTGGTCGTTTCTAAACCACAAAGATGTCGGGGGCATCTGTAAAAGTTGCGGTTCGAGTTCGGCCCTTCAACTCCAGGGAGACGGGCAAGGACTCCAAATGCATCATTCACATGCAAGGCAACACTACAAGTAAGTCTACTGGCGTGCACACAACCAAACAATATGTCTTGAATGTATGCAGGCCTGTCTGCTGAGGGTCGTTTGGTATACCACACATGCACCCACGTGGTCTTCCTTCAGGCCTCTTAGCAGGGGACAGTAGAATGAGCAAACTGAATAGTGGACGGTTGGGGACAAACAGCCTGAAAGGGAATAAAAGGCCTACCGAGGGAAATTCCTCCTCCTCTGAAGGGGGCTGCATGCCTTAGGAGTCTCAGTGTGAGAAACGCTGAGTTGCTCAATACTGAGAGACCCAGGGGTCACCTCCCAGCCTGTCCCACTAATACCTTCAATTCATCAAGGCTTTATCCCACAGTTCATGTTTTAGAATGGATTTGTCTGTTACTTTGTAGTTTATGATTGTCTTATCTCCCAGTCAGTGTATACAAGCGGCTGTAAAGTACTTGTAGAGTTGTGTCAAGTGTTATGGCCATAATTATTATTTATGTTGTGTGCTGCTTTTTATTTTGCTGTACATTTCACACAAAAACAAATGGCGGGGTTACATTTATTGGCCTGCTAAAATTAAGGAAAATATGACTTAATTTCTCATATGTTTAGTCGTATATTTGTGTCACCTTGACAACATATTATTGCAATCAGTAAATAAGATGGATGAGTCATAAATCGACCAGATTTGTTTCTGAAGCGTTATTTTTAAATCGAGGCTTAATGCGTCAGTCATTCGTGAATAGAAAGATAGATGTACTCGAATGAAATTACACTAAAATCCAATTGTAGGTATTAATGTGTACTTGCAGTGCAGAAAGAGAAGACTTGAATGTGGGTTGTAGTCTTGTGATCAACCTGCCTACTTGTGACTGTGAGTCATCATGTACTGTGAAGTGCTAGCTGCCTCCTTGCTCATGGTTGTGCTGTATTTCCAATTCCAGCTGACAGATGAGTACAATCTCCCCGACAGTAGCATGGAAACATTTTAAAACCAGTAACTAGACAGCATGTGACGGCAGAAACCCGTTCTTCCAGCTCTCTTATTTGCCTCGACTTTTGTCTGTCAGTCTTACCGGGCTCATTAGACTAAGCCTTTATGAATCTTCCATAAGATCAAGTGTCCCTACTAGCTATGGCTCACATGGCCTTTATCTCTCAAACTGTACCAAAGAGAAGCTTTGTGTCAAATCCCCAGTACTTTTACTCCATATCCTTGGGTTTTCATTATGCCAAAGTCACTAGGAAGTGCTGAAGGGTGACTCGTGGGTTTGAGCAGAACTGCAGTAGAATATGCAGCTTTTTCGGGCTTAGTGTGTGAGTGAGTGAGGGAGTGAAGGAGAGGAAGAGGTTGCAGCACTGCTTACTCTACCTCTATCACATGGGCAGATTGCAGAGCAGAAAGGGAGGCTGGCAGGCGGCCATACTCTCCCTTCACCAGGACTTCATTGCAGATGGTATGCTGAGCATGCTGTCCTATTGAGATGCTTGAGATGTTCATACATGCAGATGAGACTTTGTGATACGAAGTGAGAAAATGTGACCTTTCTGTAGTTGTGATTCTGCATTTTTTTTTTCATAAATCAGAGTCCACCAAAGCCAACGTACATTTGTATTATAAACTATGCATCAGTAGTTTGTTTGGAAGGTGCTCAATGTTTCTATAATGTGTTCATTTGTTGGCACACCCGTTATGACTTTTTATGGCTAGATTACGTCATGGTTTAATTTGAATAACATTTCTCAATAATTGTGCATGAGTATGTTTCTTTGACTTTGGCAAGTTTGTCTTTTGCCCCATATAAGGCGGTGTATATACAGCTCTGGAAACATTTAAGAGACCACTGCAGCATTATCAGTTTCTCTGGTTTGACTATTTATAGGTATGTGTTTGAGTAAAAGGAAATCTTTTTATTTTATTCTATAAACTACTGACAACATTTCTCTGTGTTGGAATTCAACAGACACTGGAATGGAATGGCTGGCGTACATGCAGAGATTGAGATTTAAGAGACATTTGCAGTGGTCTCTTTATTTGTCCAGAGCTCTATAACTTATCCACACGTTTTTTTGTACTCAACAAAAAACATATTTTAAGTATCAAATACTCTCCAATGAAAGGTGAAAGATCAATTTCTGTCATTAACTTTCTCTTTGCTCAGCTAAAATTCATTCTTTTAATTTCAATGTTTTATATATTATGCTGCTTTAATCTGAATCAATGGTGCCATTGTTTTAGCACAACACAGTGTATACATTACCTGTGATGGTTTTTATTATGTTATGCCCTCTGATTGGCTAAAATCTGAATGAGACTGAGAGCTGGGATGTTTTATGGAGTTGCTTGGTCAGCCTGCAGGTGTTTGCAGATGTGTGTA